TCATTGACTCCGACTCCTGCACGAATGTGATTTCGAACGAGGTCGTGACGAGACTTGGGTTGTTAGGTGAGCTGCATCCGGATCCATATGCTCTTGCGTGGATACAGCATGATGATTCTGTTAGTATCACCCGACGCGTGTTGGTGACCTTTTCTATCGGATCCTCTTATAAGGACATGACTTGGTGTGACGTTGTGCCTATGGATTCTTGGCACGTTTTATTAGGATGACCTTGGCAATTTGATCGCTCTGTGGTACACGATGAACGCCTCAACACATATAGTTTTTTATTTGAGGGTGCCCACATAGTCTTACATCCGTCGTCCTCCAATTCGGGTCCTTTTTGCCATCATCGTCTCCGGTTTTATTCGTTTCTCGCGCCGATCAATGTAGGGAGTTATCTGGCTCGGTGGATGGTCGCTCGATAGTCTTTGACGTAGGTGATTTTGTCGACTGGGTCGCTCAGGATGCCAACGAGATTGCGATTCGAGGGCGAATCCTCTCCACCCGAGAGAGAATGATGCCGACGAGATTGCATTAGCATATCTCGACAAATATGATCGACTTCGGGCTTTAGTGTGATCGTTATTATATTATTATTAATTATTTGGTTTATGTATTGGGCTTTGTTGTATTGTGCTTGTTATATTTGGACTTTTATATGTGGTTAGGAATTAGTATTGCGGTACTATTTAAAAACATATGTATCTTCTTTGTTGTCAGTTATGAATATTATAAATTGATCGTGAAAAGAAATTGTTCTTCCTTGTTGTGTTCTCTGAACTCCAATTCCATCTACTTCTGCTGCATCAATAGGTCTTTGCCGAGAAGTCAAATATTATTTATGGGAGATAGTATAATAAGATCCCCCTTTCGAGGGGTTTGTCACTAAATACTATATATGATACTCCCTGCACATAAATAACTAGGCTTATAATTATGTCAACATCAATAATAAATCCCTCCAATCACTGGTAACGAGCTAAACTAAAAGTTATATATTTAAGGAGTTCAAAAATATCATTTGATTTTAAATAACTACACTGAGCCCGTTTTTAAAAAATTCATATTGTGATTCATAATATCATTATAAATTTCATATAAATTAATTAATTAGAAATAGAAATAAAAGTGTTTGTAATATACTTACATTATTATAAGTTATAAAAAATAAAATAATATTGATGTAATTATAAAATAATAATTTTTTAACTTCAAAATAATATATATTGTTGTCTGTTTCAATTAAGTGTTGATTATAATATTTGAAAAAATTTCAACTTTAGCATAACTTACTTGGACATAATATATTGTAATAAGGTATGTGTAATGGAAGAGAGAGAGAGAGAGAGAGAGAGAGAGAGAGAAATATTTTGTAGTAATATTTATTGGTAAAGTTTAAATATATTAAAACTTTGTTATCCTTAACAAGTGTGTAGCCCGTGCGATGCACGGGAAAACAATATTACGATTGTGTTATAAATTAAATATACAAAAAAAAAATTATCAAGATTTACACATCGTTTTTAAATTACACCGTGTTTGACACAGTTCGACTGGATGGACCGAGAACCGGTTTATAACCAGTCTAGTTCGCTTGAATAAAATATTTTCTATTGAATCCGTCAACACCAGTCGGTTGAACTGGTAGAATCGATACGATTTTCAAAATAATTTTTGCTACATTTAAGTTTATTTAAAATAAAATTACATATTTAAATAAAATAGAGATTTATAAATTGCTTATCAATTAGTTTAAATATTTGAATTTTTAAATTGTTTACATATTTAAGTAACACATTTTATTTGAATTTTTTACAAAAAGTACTATATATATTATTCAAGCATATTTTCAAAGAAAAAAATTAATTGTATGATTATATTAAAGCGTATTTATAAATTAAATTGTATGATTTTTAAAAAAAAAATATGGAAAATAATAAAACTACTATTTATGGGTTGTATTAAATGCTAACCTATTTTTTTGCTGCTATTTTTGGTAGATAGGTTCTCTTTTTATATATAGATATATAGATTATAAACAAAAGTTCTAAAATGACAACTATTTTATAGCGAGTAAATAAATATATAAATTATATTAAATTACTATATATCATAAAATTTTAAAAAAAATAATATTTATATTAGTTAAATTTAATTGCTTTTATACAAACAGTTTAAAAATATTGTAAATATATAGTTGTTGAAGTTATGAAACTGTTAAATTAAAAGTGGTATGCCCCAAGACGTGACGACACTTGGTTGCTGATAAATATGAAGCAAGAGGTCCAGAGGTTATGTGTTCAGGGTTAGGGGGGCTGCTGTGACTAACTTACAGCAGCCCCAGCTGTTAAATATCAGCCACTGATTTCAAAACTAATAAAAACAGATCAAGGGCTATACACAAATGATAAATAAATTGTCACTGCCTTTGTTTACAGTGATAATTAGGGGTTAGGGGGGCTGTTGTGACTAATTTACAGCAGCCCCAGCTGTTAAATATCAACCACTGATTTCAAAACTAATAAAACCTGATCAAGGGCTATTAACAAATGATAAATAAAACGTCAATATTTTTATTATCATTCACGTGCAAGAGAAAAAAGAGTAGCAATAACACTCGTAAAGAAAAGAAAAGAAGAGGAGCAATAACACAAGTTATACCACCACTGAATTCCCCTTCATTTTTGTTCCCCACACGCACGAAAATTCCCCTTCATCTTTGTTCTCCCCTTGTTTTCACACACCTGCCGACACAACGCGAAAATCTCAGCCCATGGCATGTTGCTCGGCTACTGAGACTAAAACTCCAGACAGTTAAAACCCACTTCAACTTTCTCATTGCTCTGCACCACTCCTCAGCCATGGCCGCCGCACGACACCGTGAGGAGGAGCTCAGGTTGGGACTAGAGACGTCGGGCTGACCTTTCGTGTAGGTCGTGAGGAGGAGCGCCCTGGAAGAGGAGCTCGAGCTCATGTCGTGACCCGAGGGGGTCGAGGAGAGGGTGCGGGGTAGGGGCCTTGTGATCCATGGGTGGGCCGCACAGTTGATGACGCTCTTCCACTCGAGCGTCGGGGGGTTCGTGATGCACTGCGGCTGAAATTAGACGCTCGAGGGGACCTCGTCGGCACCTGACCTAGTTGGTCTTCGCAAACCAGTTCTGTAATGGAAACTTCACCGTGAACATAAGTTTGGGCAGGGTCGAGATGCCTTTCGTTTTCGTGGGAGAAAAGGGCGGAGGAGGACTTCAGTTGAAGTCGGGAGTCGATAAGACGACTATCGAGGAGTTGGTGGATGAGGGAGAAAAAGGGAGAGAGATAGCGAAGGAGCTCGGGAAAAAAGCGAGACGAGGGATGGAGAAAGGAGACCCGTTTTAAAGTAACATGACACACCTTATACGATTCCATCGAGGGCCACTAGGATAATCTACAAGCAAACTAATAATGGGAGGTGTGTGTGGTGGTTTATTGTGTATCATATGTATTTGATTTTGCAATTCTCAGCTCTTGTTTTTGTATCTCCCCTGAGAGATAACAAGAATGCATGGATTTATGCTAGATAAGAATGAAATTAATGCATACTCATGGAGACCAATAACAAGAGCAAAGTTAGTTCTCTGTTAGGAATTTTGAGAACATCATTTTATATACTACCTTAACTTAATACCTACATAAATGCATGATGAAAGCTATTGAGCAGTTATTTAGTTGAGGTTCCCATTTATATCCTTGCACATTCTTTCTCCCTAAATTCAAACTTGACTATGGCAAATTTCCCCAATCTAAAAATGACATTGTTTGATGAAGGATAACTATTTCAGAACTATGTACTTTGCATTCTTTCAAGAGATTATTGTTTGCGGGGATTCAGACTCTTAAACTAAGGGGGAAAAATTGATACATAAAAAGAGGACCACAAAATTTCTCATCTCAGAATCAAGCTCAAATTGATAACCTAATATAGTGTGCATCACGAACCCCCCGACGCTCGACTGGGAGAGCATCATCAACTGCGCGGCCCACCCATGGATCACAAGGCCCCTACCCTGCACCCTCTCCTC